GATCGATACTGCCAACTCACCCTTGGCTCGTATTTCCTGAGCCAAGGTAACCCTAAGATGACGTCGAACTTGTCATCTAGGTCAAGCACGATGAAATCAGCATCGTACTGTTCGCCTTTTAACGTGTAGTGGATTCCGACTACACGTTTATTCACAGTGATCGATGCGCCTGTCGCTAGGCGCACCGTCATCTTCGTTGGAGGGATCTCCCGCTCCATGAAGTTAAAACTTCCTGCCTCTAGCGACTGGCGACGAACAAAATTGTTCGACGCCCCACAGTCAACTAGGGCGCGAAGTGACAAGTCTTTTGTCACTTCTAACTTCAAGGTGATGAGAGACACCATATCACTAGGTGCAGAGACACACAGAAATTGTGTGTCGGGAGCAACCTTCTTCAGGAGATTTGCAAATTCTCTTGATGTTGCTGGATCAGTAGGGCGCTCCGCCCCTACTGATCCCGACCGTTTTTTGATGGTCCACTTCGCTGTTGCGACTTCGCAACAGCAACGGACCCTCGCTCTCCAGTTCTTCTTGATGGTGGGTGAATACTGCGCTCAGCACCGCGAAGTTCTGAGCGGGGGACACTGCATTCGTATGCATAATGTCCCAACTTGTGACAGCGATGGCATCTCACCATTCGCTTGTCGTTCATAGGGCGAGGTTTCTAGCCCTCAACTTGACAGAGGTCCATTGGTTCTGGACCTCCGACTGCTAATCGTCTCTGTAGACGATGCGGGGTCAACGTAGCGTGAGCCTGCCTCACATTGTAATCTTCTTGCTCCGCTGCGAAGATTTCCTCTGAGAGCGTCTTTAGCTCTCCGCGGAACAGGTGGTCCTTAACGGGACCGTCTGAAAGCCCTTGAATAAAGATTGCGATCAACACAAACTCACTCACAGGGTTCACTACCATGCAGCTTGCAAGGTAGCGTACATGTTGAGCGTGAGCGTGAACCTTACGCTTACCCTGCTTCATGTTCAGGAGCTCTGAAAGAGTCCTGAACTCTGCTCTGGGCAGCTCGAACGTCTCACTGAGCAGGTTCTTGAAGATCCTCAACGACCCAAACACATTTGGGTCGTGCAACTTGAGGTTCAGGACCCAAGCTCTGACTTCTCCTGCCAGGTTAGACTGAGCGAATTATACTTGCATTCGCTCATCGTCGATGCGACGAGCATCGATGGCATCGTCCAGCTCGACGAAACACCTCAACAGGGAGTCTTCCTCGACTCCCCGATACTTGGATACCTCTAGTTTTAGAGACTCCCGTCGACGCTCACGCGTAGGCTCTGCGGACTGAGACTGTTGTTGTCTCAGTGCTTCGGTACGCTGGTGATATTGTTGTTGTAACAAGGTCACCTGCGCTCGCGAATCATCAAGTTCTCGTTGCAAGAACTTGCTAATGACGACATGTTGCTGGTCCCTATCCCTTGAGGATAGCATGGCCCATATGGCTTCCTCGACAACAGTCGAACTCATTCGTTCGATCGCACTCCATTCGATGTCGCTCAAATGGGAGTAGCTTTCACGGGTTCCGTGAAAGCTGTCGCCGTCTACATCGTCCAACACGTTCATGTTGGGCGATGGGGTTGTGGTCCTTGGACGGACTACAAAGTGCTACCAGGTGTAACGGGGCACTGTTAACTACGTACTGGTTGACCAGTACGGAGTATACTTCCACTGAGGACAGTGGTCGACAGTGCCCTGCTAGGTGTTGAAGGAACACAGAGGAAGGAAAGGAGAATAAGTAGTCAGACTAGTCTCTTGGTAAAAGTAAGTCTGTAATAATATAATTAAGTCCTATAAATCCTTGAATCTTTGTTGTCCTGACTTAATTATACTAATATAACCAAATGTATGATGACGTCTACTCACCACCCATTGCGCGTGTCTAGCAGCGATTGGTGGGTTGACATCATCACGATATCAACCAATGAGTAGACCCTTCGGTCATCTCAACAATATCACCATGTCTATGATATTGTTGAAAGAATATTCGACGTAATATTCTTTATTGTCAAATTGTGTTAATGACAATTTCATGTAACGGGCTACCCCGTTACAAAGGTTGTCTACAGCCTGCTAATCGCGCGCTGCGTCCCATCCTCTGTCACGTGCAGAGAAATTATCATTTACTCATGAATCCTTTCGCCTATCACGTGCAGATGAATTGAAATTCCCTCTTATACCTTCGCATCACAAGGATTGCTTCCCGCGAGTATGAGAGTACCAACACACCGGGCAACGCAGAGGCCTCCGTCCTTCTTCGTCAGCGCTCGTGGGTTGCTAAATGAGCAATATTACGTCCGTTTGCCAAATAAAGTCTGCTTAATTATGTTGGAAAGAGAACATTAAGTAAATGAAATGACCTGTATTAAAACGCGCGCCAGACGCGTTTCGTCCCCCCGCCAGAAGCCTCGTCAGTGGCTTGTCAAAATACAATAACTGCCCAACCTATATCTTTGTGCTGCCTAATACAACACATAGAACCCTGTAGAAAATTCCATAAATGCCCAAGTGTAGGTTTAATCTCTGGAGTCGACCCAAGTGCGACTTGCACTTCCAACACTCCCCCTCGACGACATGAGATGAAACCGCCTGAGCATCCATCGTCCGTACCGTCCTGTCTTCTCTGCAGGCTCTAATGGGGCTGTCCACCTTCTCTTCAGCCAACTTCCTTGTTGCTCGCTTGGTAGGTTATCCTGGCTCCCCCATTGTCCGGACCGTGTCTCATCTTGACATCCTTCATTCATCGTCGAGCTTTTTTTCTTGTTCTTTCTTGCTCTTGACCACTTCAATACCACCATCACTTCACTTCACGTAACCTTCACCGTCAGTTGCAGAGCTTGGTTGTCCCTTTCGCGAACACAAATAGCGACTGCTTGTCCACCATGCGCTTACGTAGATCCCCATCGTCGGACCATGTCCCATCGCGACTTCATGGAAGAACTCGCTCCCAGCGCACATCCCGTGTACAACGTAGCACCAACCCAAGCCGCTTGGGCTCATAACCTGTTAGAAAGAGAACATTAAGTAAATGAAATGACCTGTATTAAAACGCGCGCCAGACGCGTTTCGGCCCCCCGCCAGAGGCCTCGTCAGTGGCTTGTCAAAATACAATAACTACCCAACCTATATCTTTGTGCTGCCTAATACAACACATAGAACCCTGTAGAACATTCCATAAATGCCCAAGTGTAGGTTTAATCTCTGGAGTCGACCCGAGTGCAACTTGCACTTCCAACAAATAAGATCAAACCAACGGTTCCTTAAAAATGGAAAATTCCGAAACCAATATCGCAGTTTCATACAATTTGGCAGTTAACTTTGTGTGACCCCAATTTCAATGTTCTGCGTGGTCTCATCTCAGAACTGGTGCTGGTTTCTGGACCTTTTCACAAACTTTACTGCTGGTTTTTGGATTCGTTTCTTACAGAACGTAGTTGCCATGTAGGACCATCAATTTGAGGTCGAGATTTTGACCTTCACAGAGATATCAGCATCCTTCGTAATATTCTCCTCATGCTTTTCGTGATGGAAAAAGCTTTTTAACCGAAACGCTCGCCATTTCTGTCAAGTACACTTTTCGAAATGTGATCAAGTATACAGGCTCAGCTATTGGCCGCACGGCTTTTTTCGACGTCAAAACAGCAGGACAGACCATTTCTATCGATTGACCCACTTGTCGTCGTCCTGTTTCATCGTATTCGATCAGTCGTACAATTTCTAACCACTCCGCCGTGCACAACGCTTTCTCTATACAGTATATAGACGCTCGATCACTCTTTTGGTGTGTGGGTGGTCCACACACCTCGCGCCACCAAACGACTGGCGTCGGGCCCACCGACGCGGTCTCTCTCGCGCCATTCTATCAGAACGGGAGATCAAAACCAGAGCAAAAGGCATCGACGACGACAATGGTCAAGAACGTGCGCATCACTTACCGCCGCCGGCACTCGTATGCCACCAAGTCCAACTCCATTAAGCCGGTCAAGACCCCTGGTACGTCCTCTATACCACACTCCTTGCGCACGTATACTGTCGACCCGACGTAACTAACTCCTACTGCTCGTCTCGCCTATAGGCGGCAAATTGGTCGCGCACTACCGCGAGAAGCGCGCGGCCGGTCCCAAGTGCGGCGACTGCAAGCAGTCGCTCAAGGGCATTAAGCACCTCAAGCCCAAGGAGTACAAGAACGTGAGCAAGCCGAACCGCACGGTCTCGCGTGCTTACGGCGGCTCTCGGTGCGCTCTGTGCGTGCGTCAGCGCATTGTGCGCGCGTTCCTCATTGAAGAGCAGAAGATTGTCAAGAAGGTGCTGCTTGAGAAGCTGAAGAAGAACAAGTCGGCGTAACTGCGCGCGCACGCCGTACGTCGTCGCAATGCCTGAGACGGACCGCAACGAGCGCGTTTAGGTCGTCTCTCCCGTCGTGGTCTGTGTCTAGCTCGTAATGCACCGGTTCTGCGCCGCATGTTCGTGCAGCCGCGACCACATCAACTCGAACTCTGTCATGGAAGTCTCCACTACGTCTGCTCGCTCTATTGCTCTCTCGCCCGCTTGCTCGCTCTCTCGTCCAGGCTTAGTGAGCCGTGTTCGTGCACCTGGGTACCGTACGCTCTGCGTGCGTACCCCACATCGCTTTCTCCCTCTGCGTACCCCCTCGCGAGTGTGACCATCACTCTTGGTGCCAGTCATTCACCCCCCACACTCCTCCTTCCCTCCCTCTCTTCTCTCATTCGTCGAAAACCGCCGTTGCCATGGATGATGTTTCCCCTTCCGCCCCGCCGTCGCCTCTTGTTGTGCTGCTTTTTTCGACTCGATTGCCCTTGACGCGCGCGCGGTTGCCCTATAACGCCGCCTGTCTGTCTCGGCGCTGCAACCTTGCCGTGCAACGTCAACGTTGCCGCCGCAACTTGACCCACACTCCTGTCGTCTACCTACTACCCCTACCCCGCGCCTTCCGCGCACGCGCAATCGCCTGGTCGGTATCTGTTGCGCGTTGCCCATGCAGTTTCAAGACCGCGAGCACGTCGAGCACACGCTCCTGGTCTCGCTCGTGCAGCGCCTCGACGTCGCGGATGCCGCCACGCGCCACGCACGCGTCGCCGAGCTCTACGCGGCCGTGACGTCGCTCCACCGGCAGCTGTCGGCCGAGCGGTTCGCCAAAGCGCTGGGCCAAGTGACGCCGCAGCTCTACAACTTGCTGCAGAAAGGCGCGTCTGAGAGTGCGCATTTGGGCGCACTGCTGGCGATCGAGCGCCTGCTCGACGTCTCGAACGAAGACCAGTTCATCCGCTTTGTCAACTACCTGCGCTACTTTGTCCAGCAGCCCCAGACGAGCAGCACAGCGCTTTTGGCCGCCGCGTCGGCCATGGGCCACTTGGCCGCGTCGCGCGTCAGCGGCACACTCGTGGCGAGTTTCGTCGACTTTGAAGCCAAGCGCGCGTTCGAGTGGCTGCAGGAAGCGCCGGGCGGGGCGCACGCGGCGCGGAACGAAGCGCTCGTGAGTCAACGGCGTTTGGCCGCGTGCTTCATCCTGCGCGAACTCGCACAGGCGGCGCCGACGCTGTTCCACGTGAACCTGACGCTGTTTTTCCAGAGCATTTGGGGCGCCGTGCGCGACGCGCGCGTCGAGATCCGCGAAGCTGCAACCAGTGCGTTGGCCGCGTGTTTGCAGCTGATCACGAGGCGCCAGACGCGCCACCGCGTGCAGTGGTACTGCAAAGTGTACGACCAAGTGGTCAAGGGCCTGGCCGTGCGGCCGCGGTCGAAAGCCAGTGCGGGCGCGTTGCTGGCGAGCCCCACGACCGACCAGACGGTGCTGGCGACGTGGGAGTGCGCGCACGGCTCGCTGCTGGTGATTGGCGAGCTGATTGCCAACACGGGGCGGTTCATGGTCCCGAGGTTCCGTGAAGTGTGCGACACGGTGCTCAAGTACAAGGACGCGAAAGAGCGGCTGGTGAACCGCGCAGTCTCGAGGCTCTTGCCGCAGCTGGCCGAGTTTTGTCCCGGCGCGTTTGTCCAGTACTACCTCGACGTCTGCGTCGCGCACTTGACCAAGAAGATCCTCGAGTACTCGGCGCCAGCGTCCGAGCGCGGCGTGTCGTTCCTGGCGATGGGGCGACTGGCGTTGGCGGTCGGCGACGCGCTGCTGCCGCACCTGCCGCCAATTCTGAAACTCGTGCGGGAGTCGCTGGCACCGCACACTGGCAGCAAACGCAAGCGCACGCGGAACAAGTGGTTTTGTGTGCAGACGCTCACGTGCGTGGCGAACATGTCGCGCGCGCTGGGATCGCGGTTTGAGCCGTTTTTGTTTCAGTATGGAGTGCTGGAGACCATGATGCTCGGGGGCCTTAGCGACGACCTGATTGACTCGTTGGCTGAAGTGGTCGCTAGTGTCCCGAGCGCGCTTCCCTATGTACAAGAGCGCTTGCTGAATGAGATTTCGATCATCTTGCGTGGCACGCCGTTTTCGCTTGGGAGCAGTGGTGCGACTTATCCGACGTGTAGTAGTGGTGCAACAGGCAGTTTCTCGAACGGAGACGGGAGTGAATTGGCGCTGGACGCCTCATATTACGACACTCCCAGCGAAGCTCCGCCTGTAAAGCAGACGGCGGTACAAGCGCTGCTGTCTTCGGTGAAGCGAGGCTTTTCGAGCGTCGAAGACGATCCAACGAGTACGAATAGCTCGCTGATGATCAAGGGCGAGACGGGTGACGAGATTGATACGATTTTGTTGTCCTTGCGCACGCTGAGCTGTTTCGATTTCAGTGGCAGCTTCTGCCTCCTGCCGTTCGTGCGTGATTGTGTAGCTCTGTACCTGAAAAACCCCGATGCACGGATTCGAAAACAAGCGGTCATCACATGCAGCAAGCTACTGCTTCCGTCGCCTGAATCCCCAGACACCGCGTTAATGTCTTCGTGGAGGCACGTGAAAAAGCGTGGACTTAGTGGACGCGTGATTGATCATGTGCTGACGCAGTTGCTGCAAGTCGGTATTTCCGACATGGATGCGGCTGTACGAAAGAGTGTTGTCGAATCGTTGGATGCGCGTTTTGATGAGCTGCTAAGTCAAGAGTCACATTTGAAACTGGTGTTTCTACTGCTGAATGACGAGAACGCCAAGATTCGCGAATGTGCGATGCAATTGCTGGAACGCTTAGCACCACGAAATCCTGCTTTCACGATGCCGTCACTACGCCGCTTGGTAATTCAGTTGGTCACGGAACTACAGCACACTTCGGATCTTCGAATGCGCGAAGACAGTACCCGACTTTTAGGACACCTCATTCGTAGTGCTCAGCATCTGGTAGACCCGTACGTCGTACGAATCCTGGAAGTGCTTCTGCCCATACTCGTCCGCGGCAACGCTTCGTTGACGGTGGCAGTGCTGATCACTCTGGGTGAGTTGGCGCTAGTTTCACGCACTCAGATAGCTGCGTACGAACGCTATCTCTTTCCGCTTATCATTCACACACTCCAAGATCACTCGTCGATGGAGAAGCGGCAAGTGGCGTTGCAGACGTTGGGCCAGCTGGCGGGCAGTACAGGGTGTGTAGTTCGCCCGTATTTGGCGTCACCGAAGTTGTTAGAGATCTTTTTGAGTCTCTTGCATCACAATGTGGGCAGTCCGTGGTCACTGAGACGCGAGGCGATGAGAACTATCGGTATCCTTGGTGCTCTGGATCCGTACAAATACAAGCTGTGCATTTCACGAGCATCATTACGGCAAGCCAACGAAGTTGCGTCAACAGCCGATACGTCAACGGCTGCAGGCAAAGATGAGAAAGAGGTTGACAAAGCTACACTTAGCGTCTCCAACTCGATAAGTGATACGCGGATGTCGCAGTATCCGACACTAAATATTGACCAAAAGGCGTTGGGTGTGACGATCGACCTCGCAAGCTTTGACCGCAAGGCAACAAGCGACGCACTGAACGAGAAACAGCAAGCCGAGTTGCAATTGTTCACTGCCGCACCAATTGGCACTCGAAAAATTGATGCTGGCGCTGCCACTGGAACGCTGGGCATTGATTTGCAGTCTAGTTACCCCGCAAACGGCATTGTTGCGGCATCCGATGGACCCCCATCGTCGTCGCTGTCGTCATCTTCTCGTAAGAAACGACAAGTGGTTTCTATCGGTATGAGCCGAAGTGACGACGCATTCGATTTCGAGAGCTCGCTGATGGACAACGAATTGGAGCTTGATCCAACAGAGCTGTCCCCGGCGTCGGAGGCGTACTTTCCGACGGTGGCGATCCACGCGCTTTTGCACATTTTGCGCGAGCCGTCGCTCAATGCACATCATCACGGTGTCATCCAGGCTATAATGTTCATTTTCAAGAGCCTCAGCACGCAGTGTGTGTCCTTCCTCAAGCACATTTTGCCTCCTTTTCTGCGAGTTTTGGCACGAGGAGAGCCGCGTCTGCGCGAGTCGCTCTTCTTGCAGCTGACCACGCTTATTTCCATCGTAAACGCACACATGAAGCCATTTTTCCCACCGATAATGGCGCTCGCGCTGCGTTTTTGGGGGTCACATTTGCCACAGATTGTGCGTCTTGTGGAAGAGATTTCGCAGGCCGCGCCGCACGAGTTCCACACGCAGTATTTTCCGAAGGTGTTGCCCAAGCTGCTCGAAGTTTTGCAGCCACATTTTGGGATAGGCGGTGGCGCTACTGATGGCAATCTGTCCGGAGCAGCCGCGGGAGGTGGTGGTACAACCACTCTTGCTCCGAGTTTCGGTGGAGACTGTGCAGGTGCGGTCGGAGGAGGCGGTGGCGATAACCATGCACAGGGACGCAACAATACATCGGGCGGAAGTAGTGATCATACGTCTAGTACGTATGATATCGTACAAAACGGTGGTGGGGATGGCAGCGTTGTGGCGGCGATCCAGGTACAAGTGGTTCAGTCGCTGATTGTGTTTGGAGATGCCGTGAATGATTATGTCTACCTGCTCGTCCCTGCGCTTGTGCATCTGATGGAAAGTTTGGACACTCCTCTCGAAGTCAAGATCACCACCATCTATGCGCTAGCGCGAATAAGTGTGGTTGCCAGTTTCGAGCAATATGCCGGTCCACGGTTGCTTCAGCCCCTCGCACGGGTAGCTTCGCAAATCTCAGCCAAGGGTCCATTCTTCTTCAGTCGCTCAAGCAGCAGTGTCAGCAGCAGCGGCGGGAGTGGTGGAATCACTGTGTTGACATCGTCTGGCGCACCAAGTGGTGCGGGGGCAGCTCATATTGCTACCACAAAGACAGAAGCAACGCGCTTTTCGGAAGTCATGCTGTACGCATTAGGTGCTCTGGTGTTCCAGCTGCAAGGAGAGATATTGAGCTATGAGCCGTTGCTGCAGCAGATCATCGCGTCGTTGCCGTTCTCCCACCACGGCAATCTTACTGCAGCGACCAATATTCCAGAAAGCAACAGCTCTACTTCGCCTCCTCAAGCTATGGTGCAACGGATTTCTCAGGCGCTCGAGCATGTGCGCCACGGCTTGCGTGTTCCGCTTTCGTTTCTCGACGATCGTGTGTTCATGACACCAACCCTGCGCAAGTTCTCGACCGAGTTGCAAGCTCAGTCGGCAGCTTCAATGACCCCAGCGGCGTCTTTGCCAACGAATGTGCGATTGCATGTGAACCAGCAGAATTTGCAGCGAGCTTGGGAGGCGTCCCAGCGGAGCACGAAGGAGGACTGGCTGGAATGGATGCGCCGTTTCTCTATTGAGTTGCTCCGCGAGTCGCCTAGTGCTGCTTTGCGCTCATGCTGTGCCTTAGCTCAGGCGTATAACCCGTTGGCGCGTGCACTGTTCAATCCGGCGTTTGTTTCGTGTTGGAATGAGCTATACGAACAGTACCAAGATTATCTTGTCCGTGCACTCGAGACTGCATTCCAGAGCGATACGATTCCTGCCGAGATATTGCAGACACTGCTTAATCTCGCGGAGTTTATGGAGCATGACGTGGAGGCATTGCCGATCGACATCCGCGAGTTGGGTGAGCTGGCACAAAAGTGCCACGTGTATGCCAAGGCGTTGCACTACAAAGAGCTCGAGTTTCACACATCGCCTAGCACGTGTATCGAGGCGCTTATATCGATCAACAATCAGTTGGGCCAACCAGAGGCTGCTGTCGGAATCCTAAAGTATGCACAGGCACATCACAGTCGTGTTATCCAGGTGAAGGAGACATGGTTCGAAAAGCTGCAAGATTGGCGCGCAGCCCTTGCCCTGTACAATCGACGCCTGCAGTGTGCACAGGAGCATGGCGAAAATGAGCAAGGACTGGACATTGAAGTTTGCATTGGAAAAATGCGGTGTTTGGAGGCATTGGGGGAGTGGGAAGAGCTGAGCGCACTAGCTGCTCGGGTGTGGAGTTTTTTGCGCTCGCCCGAACGAACCTCCGCTAAAACGAGCGCCGCTTCTTCTCGCGGTCGTCTGCTGTCTGCCGGCTTGGCACCTTCGAGTGCGTCCGGCGGTGGTTCTGGCGCAAGTGATTTCGCGCCCATGCGCAGGGCCAGTAGTAGCAGCCACGGTTCGTCCTCGTGTTTGGCAGCAGCTGGGGGTCCCCCGTCAGCGTCTTCTCATCAATCAGGCGATGATTACTGCGATGAGGCTACTGCGCTGAAACGGGTGGCGATGCTCGGCGCTCGAGCGAGTTGGTGCTTGTCACAATGGGATAGCATGACACAATATGTGACGGAGTGCGCAGCACAGAATGACTCGACTAGTGCATTCATTTTTAAAACGGCCAGTGGCACTGTGCACGGCAATGGCTATGGACACACTCATGGGTATGGAATTTTCGGTGCTGATGAGGATGTAACTGAACTCTCGCTGTATCAATCGATTCTGGCGGTGCACCAGGGCAATTTCGTAAGAGCAGAAGCACTGATTGACGCGACGCGGAAAACCCTCGACACCAAACTTGGCGCACTCGTCGGCAAATCGTACAGTCGTGCATATCGCAGTATGGTGACTTTGCAGCAGCTCAGTGAGCTGGAGGAAGTGGTCACGTACAAGAAGCTGCGGGCCCACGTGTCAAAAAGCGAAGAAGCTGCACGCTACAAATTACACTTGATGCGTATGTGGCGCGATCGTCTATCAGGCTGCAAGCGCATCGTGGAAGTGTGGCAACAAATGATCGCAGTCCGTGCGTTGATCTTGGCACCGCATGAAGATATCGATACGTATCTCCAATTTGCTAGTCTTTGCCGTCAGTCTGGAAATCTTTCGTTGTCTCTGAAGGTGTTCACGAACGCGCTGCATGTTTATGGCGGTGCTGGGTCTAGTAACACTGGAATATCGGAGATGTTGAGAATGACACCGTCAAGCTCGGGACCTGTTTCTACTTTCGGCTTTGGTGAGAAAGACCGCAATCGAGTTGCATTCGCGTACCTCAAGCATCTATGGGCTGCAGGACAGAAGCAAGAAGCGCTTTCGGACTTGCACCATTTAGTCGCCCGTATTTCAGCCACGGCCCGGCAGCGTTTCCAGGCTACAGGTGGAATGGGTAGTGTGCCTTCTGCTGCACCGGCTACGGTACCCTCGAGAAGTGAAGGCGAGGAGCTCCTGGTTAAGTGCCACTTGAAAATGGCCGAGTGGCAGCTTGCCATCCACGACCAGCAAATCGAGCATGTACCCGTGGAAATTGTGTTGTCTTCATTGCGTCTGTGCACGGAGCTAGACACGCGTAACTACAAAGCGTGGCATGCGTGGGCATTGATGAACTTCCAAGTGGTAGAGCACTCGACGCACAGCCAGCACATTTCAGCTAATGCGACGGCGTCTGCGGTCACGGCGTCTGCGTCTGTAGCTCCATACATTGCTCCAGCAATTGAGGGCTTTTTCCGGTCGGTTGCGCTCGGTCGCAGTCGTTGGGCTGCTAACGTGCAACAAGACATTCTGCGCGTGCTAACGCTCTGGTTTGCGCATGGCCATCGCGCTGATGTACACGGTGCCTTGGAGAAGGGCTTCCGGTCCGTGAGTATCGAAACGTGGCTAATTGTGATCCCGCAGCTGATCGCGCGCATTCACACTCCCTCCCCGCGTATCCAGAACCAGCTGCATCGTTTGCTGGTGGCGGTGGGCAAGCAGCATCCGCACGCACTCATCTACCCCTTGTCTGTGGCACTGAAGTCGTCAGTGACCGAGCGCCAGCAAGCTGCCGAAGCCATCATGAGCACGATGCGTACGAACTACGTAGAGCTCGTCGACGAGGCATTGCTAGTGAGTCGGGAACTCATTCGCGTTGCTATTCTGTGGCACGAAATGTGGCATGAGGGTCTAGAGGAGGCGTCGCGGTTGTACTTTGGGGAGCACAATGTGGATGGCATGGCCGAGGTGCTGCGGCCGCTACACGCCATGATGGAACGTGGTCCGGAGACGCTCCGCGAGGCAAGTTTTCACGGAGCATTTGGCCGAGATTTGCGCGAAGCCAACGAATGGCTACAGCGGTTCTTGAGCAACCGACGCAACGAATCGGACTTGAACCGCGCGTGGGATCTTTATTACCACGTGTTTCGTCGCATCAACAAGCAGCTTCCGCAGGTCACGACTTTGGAACTACAGGTAGTTTCGCCGAATCTGCTGTCTGCAAGGAATCTACAGCTGGCTGTGCCAGGCACATACCGTGCTGGCCACTCGATTGTGAAGATTGGTAGTTTTTTGCCAACCGTGGCGGTGATCACGAGTAAGCAGCGACCTCGACGAATCACGATCGTCGGCTCGAATGGACTGGAGTACATGTTCTTGCTAAAGGGCCACGAGGACCTGCGTCAAGACGAACGCGTGACACAACTTTTCGGTTTGGTGAACGCGTTGCTGGTGAATGACCGAAACACGTCAAAGAAAGATCTGAAGATCCATCGTTATCCCGTTATCCCGCTGTCTGACAATGCTGGTATCGTGGGCTGGGTACCGCATTGCGACACACTTCACCAATTGATCCGTGACTACCGTGAAGCCCGCAAGATCCTGCTGAACATCGAGCATCGATTGATGCTGCAAATGGCACCAGACTACGATGCCCTGACGCTGCTCGAAAAGGTGGAGGTGTTTCAATATGCGCTGGAGAACACGGCCGGTCAGGACCTGTACAAAGTGCTGTGGCTGAAGTCGGAAAACTCAGAAGTGTGGCTAGACCGGCGCACGAACTACACACGTTCGCTTGCCGTCATGTCGATGGTGGGCTACATTCTTGGCCTCGGCGATCGCCACCCAAGCAATCTAATGCTGCACCGCTTTACAGGAACGATAGTCCACATTGACTTCGGTGATTGCTTCGAGGTCGCGATGGACCGTGAGAAGTATCCTGAGAAGATTCCGTTTCGTCTGACGCGAATGCTGACGAATGCAATGGAGGTGAGTGGAATCGAAGGCAACTTCCGCTTCTCGTGCGAAAGCGTGATGGCAGTGCTGCGCGAGAACCGTCATAGTCTGATGGCTATGCTGGAGGCTTTCGTGCACGACCCACTTATCAACTGGCGTCTGCTTTCGGCGTCAAATATGCTGTCGTCGAGTCATGTCAGCAGCTCGGTCGCGTCTAGCTTTGTGTCGTCGTCGATCATGTCGAGCATGAGCAGCGAAAGTGATGGCGGCATGTACGAGCCATCAGAAGCCTCCTCCCACGGTCCATCCGACGTTTCTTCGCACGAGTCAAGCGAAATGTCGTCGCACGATCGCGGTGAGGAAAAGGCCCGTCACCGACGCAGCGAGAGCATTTCGATCCCGGACCCCACACCTGCATCGACGGCCGCGCTGCTAGACGATGATGATAAGCCTCGACCAACGTCCAGTCGGGTGCAATGTACTCAGAAGGTGTCTACGCTCGATGTCAAGGAAACGCTGGACACAAACGAAACGTGTATAGCAGTGAAGGACGAGACGACTGCTGAAAAGGGAGGCGAGGCAGACGAGAGTGATGGCGAATCAAGCGATGACAGCAGTGTGTTGGTCCCTCAGCGGCAGCTTCCTCCGCACAGCAGGCCCCCAAGGCCCCACCCAGGCGGCGCCAGTCCGACCGATGTGCGTCAGTCTCCTCCACGACCGGACGCGAAAGCAGTGGAGACGCTTCCGCCCCCGCTACCGTCGTCATTGTCGTCGCGACCAATGAGTCTTAGCAAGTCCATTCCGCTTCCGGTGCGCAAGCTTCCGCCTCGTGCGCCAGCGGTGACTCGAGTGCGCGAGGACGCTATCGATGAGAACGAAGAGTTCAGTGTCGTCGAAAAGATCGACTACTCGACAACGAATCTAAACGTAGAGATTTCGTCGCTAGCGGCCAGCGTCTCCAGCGTCGGCCACTCCAGTCTGAGCCGAAGCTTCTCCGTCACGCACGCTCAAATCCAAGCGCAGTCCCGTGCAACTGAGCAGCAGGCACGACAGCAGCAGCAGCAGCGGCAACAACAAGGGAGTTGCCAACCAGCTCGACCCGAGCCTGAACGCCAGTCGGTTGCGCCCGGCACCCCAGCAGGTCCGCCTCCGCGGACCATTCCAGCCGCGTCAACTTCGTTCGTGTCCGTGACAGCAGCTGCACAAATTCCACCGGCGTCGGATGCAGTGCCACCGTCGATGATGAACGACTTGCACGCCAGCCGCAGCATCCGCGAACGCGAGCTGCTAAACGCTGTTGGCCCCGAGGGCATTGCGGCGCCTCGCGTGGCATTGAACGAGAAGGCGGTGGCTGTCATTCGCCGCGTGCAGGCAAAGCTTTCGGGTCGCGACTTTGAGGGCGACGGCGGCGAGCCGCTGGACGTCAGTGCGCAGGTGCAGCGGCTCATCTCCCAGGCTACGTCGCACGAGAACCTCTGTCAGTGCTACATCGGCTGGTGTCCATTTTGGTGATCAAGTCGAGAAGGAACAGTGTAAAGTGAGGTCAAAATGATCGGTCGCATGGCTGCTGATGTAGACGTAAAAGTAAAAAAAACACTTAACAATATTCTTCTTGCAAATACAAAGAGGATGCAGCAATGCGGAAGTGGCAGTAGAAACGTAGCGACGGCGTTCGACTGGCAGATTGGCTCGACATCGACGGCATTTCCATCACACCGCATGTTCTCGTTCTCTTGTCCACTGCCACCGCAACGACGTCTGGGTAGAGTATGACCCCCCGAGATCGCACACCACGCGCCCTCAACTCCATCTGCTGTGCCAAGACGCCCATGTCGGCCGCACAGACAAGAACAAAGCTGCACATCGTAGATTCCACTATGCTCTGCCACGATCCACGAGCCTCTTGCCTTCCGCCAAACTCCTCCAACTCCCCTCCTCCTCCTCCTTCTTCTTTGTGCACTACATGCAAACCCACTTCCGCCCGCCAATCGTTCTTCAGCCAAACGTCATGGCAGCAACCGAGCGGCACTTCAATGCGCGAGACACACTGTCCCGCGTCCATCCACTGCATCATACAAACAACATCGTCCACACACGCACGCGGGCGCTACTGCCGCGTGACACAACGACGCGCAGGTCAGTGCCCGCTCCGACCGTGTTTACGCGTCCCGTCCTTGTGCGCGCATCATCGCCGGCTGAGCGATGGCTTGTGGCTGCAACGCAATGGCGCGGCCCATAAACAGGGCGCGCTTGTCCAGCTGCAAGTCCAAGTCCAGGCCGCCATTGCGCACGCGCTCGGCGCGTCTCGTCTGGCTCCGCAACCCTGACCGCAGCAGCTGCCACCGCGAGCTGCTCTGGCTCGCACGGGCCCGTGGTCCGCGTGTACACGGCCGGGCAACAGCGACGCCAGCCGTCTGCGGCAGCGGCGCCGAGCGTGGCCGTCGTCCAGCCGACGCGCGCCGATGCGCTGCAGCCAGTGCCACAATCGCTTCGGCCGGTTCACGGACGGCAGCAGCCGCAGCAGTCGGTGCACGAGGCGAACATGCCGACGCCCCGTGCCGCACGGCCGAAAAGATCAGTGTGTCGCACACCACACAGACTTTCTGCCGCGTCGTGCGGCCCGTCTGCGGCACCACGTGGCGCGTCTGACTCGTGCACTGCACACAGCAGCTCGCTCGACACTGCCGACAGTGGTGCCGTCGACGGTGCAACGCCGGGCCAAACTTCTTGCCGCAGACGGCGCAGTGCGCACTGTTGGCAAACGGGCCAAGCGAGGCCGCTCCGGCTACGTCGCTCTGCGAGGCCGTGGCGGAACAAGAGACGGGGTGCTCGTCCTGTCCCTCGCGCCGATGACCGCCACGCAAACGCGCCGCCTGCCGGGCCAAGCGCCCCCCGCGCTTGGCAGTGGCTCTCTCGGCGCGTTTCCGCGCTTTGGCCGCCTCGCGCTGCGCCTGTTTCGCCTGCTGCTGCGCCTCCTTTTCGCGCCGTGTCGCGAGCTTTTCCTGCTGCTTGCGCTGCGCTTCTTGCGCCTTGTGCTCCATGGCCGCGTACTTGCGCTGCGTCTTGGCCAAGCGCTCGAGCTCTTTGCGTGCGCGACGGTCGGCGCGCTCGGCTTCTGTGCGCGGGCGGCTGAAAAACGGCATGAGGAGTGAAGAGCGTGTGTGTGTGTGTGTGTGTGTGTGTATGGAGACGACGAGAGAGCAGAGGGAGGAGAGACTCGCACGTGGGCGCCGGAGCGTAAAAGGCAGAGTGAGGAGAGAGAGAGAGTGAGAGGAGCACGGGATGATTGGAGCGACGGATGATGGACTGATGGGCGGACGATGCCGTGTGACTGCGTGAGTGGCAAGTGGGAGGCGGACGATGCCCACGCGGCTGCACGTGCGACACGTCGTCAGGGCACAGAGGGGGGTGGACCATGGGACGGACAGCATACGTGACAGGCTGTGGATGGATGGGAAAGATGGATGAATCCGCGCGGAATCAGATGCGGCCCTTTCGATGGCGGCATGAATGGATTGGTGGCCGGCAGGTGGCGACGCTGGCTCTCTCTATCTCTCTCTCGCCTGCGTCGTTTTTTGCTCAGGGTCTGTTTTTTTTGCTGCGGTCGAAAAAAAGCGATGCTGAATAAGACTCGGCTAGAGCTTGCTTTCTGTACAAACGGGTTCGTTGAGGTTGGTATACGCATGTATACGCACATCGAAAACCTGCTTTTTTGGCGTTTTTTTTGTCTGCCGATCGGAAGGTGCATGTCGGAAGGACGTGATTGATACATCACGTGGCGCGATTCGGTGCTGTTGTTCCGGTTGGTATCTTTTCATCGCTGAAGGCGACGGTAGCGAGTGAGGAGTGTACTCGAGAAACAAAGAGGTGGACGCACACCGGCGTCTGCGCGATAGCTGACGTAAGTTCGTGCGTGACGCAACGTGGCAGTGGCGAACGCAACATGGCGGCCAACAAGTGCCTTTGATCGATCCGCAACGATCGCAACACATCAGTACCTCCGCAACAAGTCCACCTGATCTATCAATCAATAAATCGATCGTCGCATACCTTACAGCTGCGCCATCAACAAGCGGTCTGTCACTATCGACCAACAAAGTCGTTCTCATTGCGTACCTTCTCAGAGCAACTACGTCGACGCACTCGTGTAGCGCAATCGCCGCTCTATATGCCATAACCAGTCGCGGCCACACTTGTACGTCGCTCGTATTCCAGTCGTCCTGACAAGTCCTGACAAGTTTGCTATTCATTGCAATGATAGCGGCTCAACCAAATTCTTGCGGGCTGTACCCGATTTGTTGCGACAGTCTGTCGATCCGGTGAGAGATGGAGACGAGCAGCTGTCTGATTGATGATGCGCGCGGTCAGCGCAGTGTCCTACGTACAGCTCGTATCCCAATTCCCTGTCCAGCATCACTGCTACGTTGTGCACTGTCTCAGCTCAGTAGCTAGCGACCCCACGCGGCTGCTGCTCTGAGCTCACTACGCTCTCACCTGACGGGTTCGCAGCTCCTTTTGCCACCACGTCAATCAGTAGCAGCGCGTACAACCGTTTGGCAATTGTCCAACTCGCTTACATTTACCGGTCGTCCAGCAACACCTCTCTCAACAATGTGACGGCGAGACTGCTTGACACCACGTGCATAGAAGGAGAAGAAGAAGAAGGAGAAGAAGAAGAAGGGCTGACTGACCGCTCTTGTCGGAATGGCACAGCCCTTTTTGGCTCACCTGTCACCCGAGCACGGGCAGGAGAGTAGCGGTACTTTGGGCGTTCTCGAAGAACGCGGAACACGGCCGCCTCGATGCGAGCGGCGCAGAACACGATGGCAAGAGCCATTAGCGATCCTCCTACCTGTGCTAGAATCGACTCAGCGACGACTGCCAGAGGCAAATGACACACGCACACTCGCATTACTATCCTAACGCCTTTCCACCAGCCACAGCCACTTACAGTAACAACACACCTCGTCCACGTGCTATCCGCTCGAGCCTTTAGCCGTCTCGAGCACGTTTGGCCACGAAACTTTGCTGCTCGTCAGTGTGGAAACACAAAGGACACGGAACGCAACAGCGCTCAACTGCGACGCCGTTGGCCCGTCGATGATGCCTCAAGAGGCCCGACGTTGCTTGATCAATGCCGGCTTTCTTACACAGTCGACCAAGCAACGTCCTGCCCGATTTGCAACGTGTCCAGTCGTGTGTCAACTCTGCCTGTCACTGCTGTCAACCTCACAGACAGATTTGCATACTCGCAAGTTGAAGCGTCAACATCCTTTGCACGAGTCTCGATATAGAGATCATCTACACGTTCACTCGCGCTGCGACTCTCCATCATGTTGCGTGAAGCGCAATAAGTCACACACGTGACAAAAGACACGACCACGTGCTACGGCGCACCCGTTTGTTTGTATGGTGTAAGTCGCTCGCTAAGTACACTGTCGACGCACACATACAGACACACCTCTCTCTTCTGTACACGACGAAGAAGTCTCTTTTTGCGCCTCTTTCGATTCTATTAAAATTCGCTCTATCCAAAACGTCACAACAACTTACCACCACATCTACAGGAAAAAAATACTCCACACAACTAACCGACAAACAAACAAACAAACAGTACCAATGAACAATCGGTCAAAGTTCCGTACTCGCGGCTCCAAGTACGGCATCCTCCCCCTCCTCCTCCTCTCCTCCAGCACATATGTCCTCATCTCGAGACAAACGTGCGCAATTCACAGCTCCCGTAGATACCACAGACGTCGATGACGTGCGTTGCTTCGGTTGTCTCAATTCGTGACTGAATCGCAGCGTCCCACTAGAGCCCCAGCGCCTGTCGTGGCTCCCGTCGGACGACGAGTCCACGTCCAACTCGGCCTCGACATTGCTCGCGCGCTCTGGAAACTGCAGACTCACGCCCGTGTACCGGACGTCGCCCATACTGCTCCGAAGGGGATTGTTCGCATCATTGCCACTGGCTCGAACGTGACTCTCACTCGCGCGCTCGTCAATGCACTCGCGACATCGGGCACAGACCGTGAGCGGCGCAATGTACCGATTGTAAATCGCCACGCGCTCCCGCGCACAACACGGCGGCGCGCTGCACACGCGATAGGCGCACAAGTCACAGCGTCGCCAGCACTTGCGCAGCGTCGGGAAGAACGACCGCGTGCAGGCGATACAGTGCCAATTGCGGTGCGTATTGCCCCTGTAATCGTCGGCCGTCAGCCCTCGAAACGGATGGCGCCACGTCGGCCACGTGCGGTCACGAGTGGGACACTGGCGATCGCACGTTGAAGTTGTCGTCGTCAATGCCGCCGTCGCACACGTCAATGTCGCCGTCGCGCGCCGTCGCCGCAGCACTTTGTCGAGGCGACAAATGCCTTTGGCAATGCACTTGAGCCGATGCTGCGCCACAGCGACGTCGCAGCCGCCCGGAACGGTCCCTGGAAACGCCGCGTGGAACGTCAAGTGCAGCAGCGCGGGATCGCGCGCACTGACGGCCACGACGAGCCACCCGGACACTAAATGAAGCGGCACGACGCGGTCCGGCGGCGCTTTGCCCGCACGGACGTCGGCCGCGTCGAGCGTACAGAACGTCACTTGGAACCCATTGCGCGTGGGCGTGAGGAGCTCCACGTAGCAGCACTGGTCGTTCTTGGACCGGGAGGGAAAGAACGTTCCACGACCACTGCCACTGTCGTCGGTCGTCGGCGGACCCCTTCGACTCGTCGCACTTGACGGCGGCCGCGAGTGGAACACAACAGGGCCGCGTTTCCGCGCAAAGCTCGCGGTGCGGACCGTCAATTGCGGGCCATCAAGTGGTCCACTACGCGACGCAGTCGTCGGTGCCGCCACTGTGTGCACGAGCGAACTGTAGATAAACTGCGAGCCGAAGAGCGCCCGCAAAAGGGCATTGCTCTCGCTTTCGCTCGACGCGCGCACGAGCGTCTGGAGCTCCGAGAGCGTCGCGCGGAGGTCACCACCGACGGCGACTTGGCACTGGCGCTTGGCCCGTGCCGTGTCGCGCACGCGACAGTACATGTGCATCGTGGGGGGGACCCCGAGGCGGATGCGTTTCCACCCGCGCTTGCGCGAGAGGCGGGTGAGGTTCACGGGGCTCTGGGCCGGCACGACCACGCGCTGGACGCAGTGGAAGAGCTCGTGGTCTGTGAGACGGACTTTGCGCGTCGAGTGGTCCAGAGATGGGGACGCGCGTTGAGGTGGACGAGGGGGAGGAGCGGGAGCAGCAGTAGCAGCAGCAGCAGCAGCACGGGGTCGCGCTGGACCGTCCGAAGACTGACGCATCGTGCAGTCAGCAAATCGGAGAGTGGCGTTGGGATCAATGACGACAAGAGAGAAAGGAGAGAGGAGAGACGTGGCGAAGATGATGAACGCAACACACACACGAGCGAGCGGAGAAGAGACGGGAAGGGTCAAAGCGTTCCCGCAAAGCAGAGGAGGAGGAGGAGGAGGAGGAAGAGCGGGTGAGAGAGGAACTCGGTGGTCGATTGATACAGCCGCTGGTGGCGCTGGGGGTGGGCACAGTGCATGTACTTTGCGGTGTGATGCTGTCGTTGTTGTTGTTGTTGTTGTTGTTGTGGGTTCGTGTGTTGTTTTCTGCATCCCGCGACTTCCCAACTGGTCGTGCTCCATGTGGCGTCATGACCAACAAGACACTTGTTCCGGATCGTTGGCAACGCTATTGTTGTAGTATGGGGGAGGGCAGCACACACACACACACACACTCTGGTGAAAGTGTCCCCTCCCGCAGCGACTCGACAAAGCACTTGCTTGGACTATGGGGGGGACCCGTCAGCTGGTTGGTAAGCATTCAGTCGGTCGCGTTGCGGTTCGTATGGACAAATGTCGCGCGCGCGTTTGATTTTCTGTCGCAGCAGCGGAGCGCTCGACGTGTCATCGACCAAAGACATTAGACAGACTGACTGACTGACTGAAGAAGAATAAAAAAGAAGAAATGATGCGAATCGAAGACGCATAGTGAAAAGACGAGAACCCCATCTCGGGCCATCATCAACGACTGCATATCGAGCAGGACAGAAACAAGAAGAAGAAGAAAAAAAGAGACTCGACAAGGTCCTGGAGCAAAAAGGCGCAGCAAAAGAGCGCTCGTGTCGTGTCTTGTCAAGTTGCAGCTCTGTGTCTGTCTATGTCTCTAGCGAGAAGAGGCACACAAGTTGCGTGACGTTTGGATCGACAGAGCTGTCATGGACGACAGACAAAGAAGTGCGATCGAGTGTCATAAAGTGGCTACATGGAAAGGCCGCGTATAGGTGAGGAGACAGACACCAGCGGTATGTGCCAGTAAAGTAGTAGCAGCGATAGTAGTATGGAAAGTAGTAGTGACAGTAGTAGTAATGATACAGAAGGAAGTCGAAGGCACATGTGGACATTGCAGTACATAAACTAAGCTCTTCCTCCTCGCGTACTGCTGACTCTGTATCACTACTATTATTGCGCCTGATACGATCAGTATTGTCGATCTTATTATTATTATTGACGTCTCACTCTACGATTATTGCAGTTCGCTACGCAATCGATTGACGCAGGTCGTAGACATCCCGTAGTTGACTGTCAAAGTCTTTTCGCGCGAGACTCTCGCGACATCGACTGCACACGCGTAGCGGAGCCACATGTCGATTGTAGATCGCCACCTGTTGGTGCGAGCAGCACGTGTTGCACACATTGTAGGCGCACAGTTCGCAGCGCGTGTAGCTCCGTAACAGTAAAAGCCGATACAGTCGACGTGTGCACACCGTGCAGCGGGAGTTCCGAGGCCCTACTGCCATCCCGTCGTTCGTGCTGCTACTTAGACGTCGAGACTGTCGTAGCTGCTCGCACGCCGTCGTCGTTGTCGGTACGTTGGTCGCTACGAGCTTTCGAAGGCGGCACATGCCTTCGGCGAGCTTATAGAGACGGGCCGTGAGTATCTTTGGCGAGCACGCGCCGTCGCTCTCGGACCGATGGAAACGAGCGCGAAACACAACGTGCACGCCCGAGCTCACAGGTTCGACCGAAATCCACGTACTGAACGGGTGCAATGGATGCAGCGCTGGCCGCCTTATGGCCAAGTCCTTGTCGGTCGTGACGTCTCGTCCCGCGAGCGAAAACGTGGCAATTCGAAAGCCGCCAGTGGCACTCGGCGAGAACAGTTCGGCGTAGACCAACTGCTGATTCGTCTTGTCAAACATTGAGGTGTGGGCAAACGCACAGGCTTTGACCACCAGCTGGTGGTACTGCTGCTGCTCGACAGCTGGTGGTCCCCGGGCAAAGGTCGTTGGTGGTGGTACTGTTGCTGCTGCTGTGGTTGTTGTTGTGTGATGTTTAGACATGCGTCGGAACGTCGTCTTGTGCACGAGTGACCCGTAGATAAAGTCCGAGCCGTACAGCGCCTGCATGACCGAGTTGTAGTCGCTCTCGCTTGACGAGCGCAAAGGACGGGCCAAGTCCTCGATCGAGCAGTGGACCGTCCCAACGGCCACCACTTCGCTGTCCAAGAGCGACGGCAGCGCATGGGGGCAGTCCGTGACACCGATCATGGGCGACTCGCGCGTAAAGAGCTCGAAGCCTCGTTTTGCTCGGCGCGGTCGCCACCCGTTGCTCACGAGCATAGGCCGCGTATGTTCGTTCCGAGTGCGGGACAAGTGGAGCCACCGCTGGACACGTCGCGCGCGACGGAACAGTTTCCAGTCATTGCCTCGCGCGATATCGGCAAAAGGACGTGGCGTGGACGACGACGCGGTTGTAATCGTTGCCGTCGTCGGCGTGTTCGTGGTGGTGATGGGTTTGCATGGAACAGGGGACCCCTCTGTGCTGGCGCTCGAGCGTGAACGAGGACTGACCCGGACTTTGCACCGGTCGGTTGGTAACGCCGCAGCTGTCAAGCGCGTCCGGAGATGAGGCCGCATAGCAGCAACACACGCTCTCGATGCGAACGCGCCGCTTTGCCTCGAGGGGCAAATCAAAGACTGTGCTTTCTAAGTCGGTTGGTCCCTCTGTTTCGCGTTGGCTGTACGAGGACACGTCAACGTTTGTTGTTGTTGTTGTTGTTATTGTATTCTTTCGTTCTTGCAGGTACGACGACGGAGGGGGACGCAACGCTCGACTGATCGAGCGTTGTCCGTCTTTATACGTGGAGACGGGCGCGCTGACGCTCGTCTCGTCCGCTGGACTTGTTGGTGCAGCGAAAGAAGCGAGACGATTGTTTTCTCTCGAGGTCAGCTCCACGTTTCGATGGTATCATTTTACGGGCTGCAAGCAAGCGGATGGCTGGAGATTCAGGCTTCGTGCCTGGTCCATCGGGCTCTTGGGCCTTCTTTTGCGCGTCGATAGTGGCGCTGGCGCGAGGTCTGTCGAGACGCGGGGGCCACAACCGGTTGCGTCTCTCAGTACGGGTTGCGACTTGGTGATGCTGTCGTGCAGTGGACCGCACTGACAGAAAACGGTCGCGACGTGAGTTTTTTTTCTCTCCACTGTGTAGCGGTAGTGAGTCGTGAGTGGGAAGTGCAGCCCTCGTAGTTAGTTGTCGTGCAAATCCCCTGTCGTTCGCGCTCCCTTCTACACGCGCGTGTCGGTCGTGACACGGTCCATTCAACGTCTGTCATTCGTAGCAACGTCCTGCTCGTGTCCACGGGAGACAATCGCGTGTAAAGAGCGGGCAAACACCTTTCGCGTCGACCGTTAAGAAGGGCTCCGGCCGGTTACGCGCCACCTGAATGGAAAGCAGCACACGATCGTCATGAACAAGTTATTGAGGAGTCCGTTTTCAGGCAGAAGACGTAGCGAGTCGCGTCATTTTTTCCTTTCTTGTCCCCGAAAGGACTTTGGCTTAGTCGCAAGGCACGATCTCCATCATGAGCTCAGAAGAGATCAAGCTGAGTCTCGGACGCAACTCAAGCAAAGTGCTGAACTGTTGCGGCCTTCGTACGAAGCGCCTGCACCTGCTTGAGCTCGACGTCCTCTGTCTCTACCATAGGTTCAAGATTCAACAACTTCAAGCGCGAATCCAGGGTCAACTCTCTGTCTCTTTCGATACCAAAGTCTCTGCAGCAGGAAAGGCTCAAGGATACCTTACGCGTGTCTTGACAGAAATGTCTCGTGGCTCTACTTCGACGTGCAATGACGAAGACGTCGGCAGGAAGACAGAGGTGTCATCATCACCTGACGTCTATCTTTGCATCAGCTGACAACAACCGGAGAGCTGACGAACGTAGAAGCTGAGGCAAAGGAAAAGTAGACGGCACGACGAGAGAGAGAGAGAGATTGCCGTCCTCACCCCACCTGATCCTATCGCGCTGAGCTTGTTCCGGTCCGATTAAAACGGCCGAAATTTGTTGAGCGCGATCGCGTTGTCGTCAGAGACGCTAACGACATTCGCCAAAGACGACGCCCACTGTTTTTCGCCACACTCTCAGGACGTTGCAAGTACGCCGCATGTGCGAGTATGGGTCTCATTAGCTTCTGCACTTGTTTGGTCCAGCGCTTCGTCAAGCTCGAAGTAGGAGGGTAGCAAAAGAAGTGCCAAACACAGCAAGAAGTACCACACAGACTGCGAGTCTACGCTCGTCGGTACAGCGATCAACACGACGCCTTGTTCGTCGCTTTACGAAAACGATGACAGCGATGGTTTATCATTGTGCATCGACTGTGCAGTACCTGGATGCATCGGTCTGGTTTAGCCGCTAGAGGTATGTGCGTAGTGGGCCTGACAGGACACGACACGAGCGCATTTTTTTCGAGTTGAGCCGTACGCAAAGAGTTCGTCGACGTCACACTTCGTGCAGCCACTTGTTGTCGCAAGTGTGTCCTGTTTGCAAAGCTCACGATACAAAGGTCGACGACACGGTCAACGGCCGATACAGCTTAAAGTCCGTCTGTACCACGCGTTGCGTCATTCACACATTCAGTAGCTGTAGCTCGTGCACACGGCATCTCGGACGACGTTAGACAGCGCTGCAACCAATGAGGCGACTTAACGATTGGCACGTGGTCGCGAGACGTGGAAGGACTCGTGTCCAAGAGGAGGAACTGAGCGGTACAGGTCGTAGTAGTTCGATGCAATACCGACGACACCTTTACATGACTGTATCACGCGTCGCCGGACGTCGCAAGTGGGAAAAGAGTTGTATGACCTTTTCGGTGTGGTGTTGTCGAGCAAATAGGTTCGTACTGAGAAGCGCGTTGGCACAACGCTATAGCTTGTAGCGACGGATGTCACGTCCGGCATGTCATGCCGCTGTGAGCACCCCATCTTGTGAAGTAAGGGACAAAAGCGGAGGTTCAGAAGAAGCTTAGCAACGCTAGCGGCTACGGTCCTGTGTCTCAGTTGCCAAAGACTGTTGGTAGCTGGACGAAGTGGAAGGCCACACGGGCAGTCAAGCAGCTGTCGCAGTCGTGCGAGTTCTCGGCTGCGAACGTCGTTCGTGTGTTGCGACCAGAGACTTTCGATGGTACAGTCGCTGTCTGAAGCGATTGCTGAGAATGTTGTGGAAAGTCTCGGCCGGGAACGACCCACGTGCTGTGCATTACGCTTTCCGTCAGCCGTACGGTTGTAAGGTCTTTGTACCAGAGCAGCTCGAGTCGTGATGGTAGAGCAGAGGGCGTCGGTCCAAGTTACAGCAGCGGAGCATTGTCAGGAGCACAAGAGACCGACAACTTCTTTCGCTCGCATGATAGTGCGACTCTCTATGCTCGAGCACACCATCGCGTACGCTGGCCATACTCAGGTAACTAGATCCACAGGACTCGTGACGAACCAACTCGCTCGCTCTTCAACAAAAGGGAGTCATAGCGCGGCACGAGACAATGTACGAGCATCGAGTAAAGTCGCTCAGCTTTGAGCAAGAGCAGGGACAAGGCACGAGCTCAGCTGTATTTGACACTAGCGGCCCATTGTGCCACTGTCCTTTAGCGATCAAACAGGGCCGTCAGCGTGTGTCCCGTTGATGGATTGTTTCGAGGTTCAGCTCTTTGCGCTGTACGGCTCTACTCGCGACATCGCAACGCCACTACCTTCTCTGGCCTGTGCTTTTCCCACCAAGTGACTGGCAGCGGTCACACTCGCGTCATCGTTGCTGACAGCCGTCTTCCAGAGGGCTCACGACTCGAAAACGCACAAGGTGAGCTGCAGCGATGTTAGCAAACCCCAATTCGCACGTTACGTCTTATGTGCTGCCCAACATGCAGTCGAGATGTCGACGTAGCTCACGTCTTTTGATGTACGAAGTCTTCGATTGGGAACAATGTACTGCATGACCCGAAATCTTCTTCGATCTATCGATACAGGAGTCCCAACTACCGTGTGGGATACCGACATGTTACGTATATACGATGCACTTGATGTAGCACGCACTTATGCATGACAATTTCACTAAGCTTGTTCAGCCTGCTCGCTTGCCCGATTCTGCAGCTTCACATCGTGTTTCTTCCCATCATTTCTCTTGATTCGCGGAATAAAGAGCGAACTCCAAGACAGCAATTGCGAAAGCGATGTCCTCCACCAACTTGTGCATCATCCCCACGGTCCAATCGACTGCAAACTTCCCGTACAACGCCCACATTCAGCTGGATGTTCGAAACACGTATGTCGTGTCAAACACGAGTTCGTGTCTTCACTACAACCTCTACAGCTTCGCTCTCTGTCTGTAAAAGTTTAAAGTCTACGGTGGTCACGAGATCAACCTGCACCTGAGATCCGTATCGGCCTACCAGATCGTGCACGACGACGGCAATATCTTTGCAAGCAACAACGATGCAGCGTGTGGAGACGAATGCGATGCATGCAAAGCGTATATGCAGATGAGAGAACGCGGATACGCACGCGTTACACAACAGTCTTCGTGGAAGATTCGGGCTTATGACATATCTGCCCTGTCAGGCGCTACAGGTGATACTTACCGACGCGTCTACTTGTGGCAATACCGATAAGTTTCACGCTGTTCGCTGATGGCGTCATCACATTCGAAAAGATATACATCTCAATTTGCTAACCAGGCCACTGAAATACGTTAGGTATCACTAAAAAAAAGTCTTCGGCCGTGCGAAAATAGAGGACCACGGTACCGTTCTTTTATGCAATGAATTAGCTCGATGCAAACGTCACGACGACGCTTAGGACGACCGGCCGCCCACTGTGGACTATCGTCAGTAAAGACGAATCCACTGAATGTGTGGCCCAAACAGGACCGCGTGCCAACACGTCATGGCGGTACCTACCGCTTCTTCCCGTTCGAAATGTGGACTGGAAACAACGGCCTTTTTTCGGCAAGAGGCACGTCGCGGCAGACAAACAGCCTGTTGAAAGTGCCATCAAGCAACAAAGTGATGGAATAGCTTTCGCACGACGCGCAATGGGCAGTACGGTATAATGAGCGGCCGTGTGATGATACAGTTCCCCCCCCCTCACACCATTCGGGAAGAAGGCGTGCGACAAAAGCGAGAGGTCGCGATCGTACCTCTTGCGTTCTCTGTGCATGCGGATGACAATCTGTAAACCAGAAAACGCGCTAGGTCTATCTACGTAGCTCGTAGACGACGCCATCAACGCGTACAGTAATGGTGCTAGTTGATGAATCAGTTGTGTCGAGAGTCTGAGGCCTCCGAGGCGGGCAGCATACTATGGAGTGGGCGCTGTTGCGTGGAATGACTGACGATGTATCCTCTCTTCGAAGCTGCGCTTTGTTGCGGTTGCCGGTATTGGCATGCCGCAGGTCAGTAGACTGAGCAATGCAGACACAACGAGCTTTGGCACACGAAAGCTGCGATAGCGAACACACACACATACCCACAAACGGTTGACATCGATGTAGAGACACCGCTTCTTGCTGCTGTCAACGAGGGCCAAGCAATGGACGACATGTCAAAGCTCCCACCGATACTGTACGTCTGGACAGGCGGACGTCTTTCTCTGATGCAATGTCGTTCGTTGTTGCCACGTTGTCAACCACCTCGCAGCTTTTTAGCGTTAGTAACATGGAAACTATCGTGGACTTCTCGTCCCCCTTCGTGTGGCCTAATGCGCGTGTATCGCAGCTGCTTCACGTCGAACTTTGATTGCCGCCTTCGCGGTCGCGACTGTGCCACGCCGCAGCTTTTGTCAGCAAGAGTCTGCGTCACGACAGTCTCTCGATTCATTCGACTTCCAAGCAGAAACAAAGTCATATAAAGGCATGCGATGCTGAACAAGCGACGGCCACCAACTTCTTTCTTGTCAGCATAAACACTCGTAGCGTATGTAGCTGTCTGCACAAAGCAAGTTCCTACTTAGACACCCTATCGCCTGATCCAACATGTGACCAGTTCCACTCGTCCTGTCGCAATACCGACTTTCACGTTTGTTGAACCCCAACCCAAAACTCTGGGAACAAACCACAATGATCGCTCGCTCACTTCCTGCCGTTTCGACCGGAAGTGGAGCTGCTCCATAGCTTGTGCGATCGACAGTCCCTCGGCCACGTCTCGCGAATCGTCTCCATCTGTCTAATCGCCAGTCCACCGCCATCACGTCCGACAGGATCACCTTCTACATAGCCTCTCACAGTCTCCTCACTCAACAATCCCAACAACAGCCTCTAGACGTCACTCGTGACCCGTCGCGATCTTCCTCCTCCTCCTCCCCGTTCTTCCCACTCCCCCTCCTCTCTGTATCCACCACCATGACCTCCTCCATGTTGTCCACTCAGGTATCGCTGCTCGATGATCAGCGGTACCTTGACGGCCACTTTGTCAACCGTCGCAACCAGAAGCTCTTCTACTGCGCTGCGTTTCCGCCTCCTTCGGTACCTCTTCGTGCTGTCGTGCTCTTTCTACACGGTATCGGCGAGCACTCGCTACGGTTTGCACACGTCTATCGCCACTTGTGTCGCACGGGCTATGGCGTCATTGCGTACGATATGCTGGGACACGGCCAAAGCGCGTGCGAGGTACCGGGTCTTCGGGCCCATGGATCCGCGTTCCATTACTTCGTCGACGACACGAACGACTTTGTAGCGACAGCACAGCAAGTCGTGTATCGCGAGATGCTGCCACAAGAGACAGCTGCACCGCCTCCTCTGGTCATCATGGGCATCTCGTTTGGAGCGCTAGTTGCTCTGAATACAATTCTGTCCGGCGTCCATCGGTTTGATGGCTGCGTTGTTGCATCGCCAGCCATTGCCGTCGAGTTGACACCTGCTCTCCGTGTCATAGAGATGGTGGCCATGCCACTCGTGTGGCTGTTGCCAACTGCACGACTCGTGGCGGGCGTCAACTTTCAAGGGCTTACGCGGGACTCGACTTTCCTGACAAATTACATGACCGATCCGTTAAATGTCACGGACAACTTGACAATGCTCATGGCGGTGCAAGTGGCTTCGGGAATGAAGCAGCTACAAGGCAATGAGCAAATCGAGGACCACGAGAGCGCGTTTAGTCGCGTGCCGCTGCTTGTGCTGCAGGGCACGGAAGATAAGGTCACGAGTGTACAAGTTGTCAAGGACTTTGTCAGTCGAGCTGCTGTCAAGGACAAGGAGCTCAAGTTGTTCCAGGGACTTTTCCATTGTCTCTGGAACGAACCCGAGAAGCAGCAGGTCATGGAGTATGCCAGCAACTGGCTCGACAAGCGGTTTGCTGCACCCTCAGTGGTACCTGATGCAGAGCCGACGACATCTCTGACCTCGAAAATCTAGACAAGGACGGCGTGGGGCTTCCACGTATGGTCCCAGCCAGCCGCAGTACGACTGGTCTTCGCTCTACATCGTGGATATGGGTCAAGTACGATGATAAGACAACGTCCTCAGCGCATGGACATATGGGATGCTGCAAGTTTGCACCATCATCAGGCCCTAAAGCGTGTTCAGCAGTGGACATAGCATCTAAAGCTACTTGCTTCGATGACGCGTACATGTGACTCGAGTGCTCTGTACATTGCAAGGGACGCAAGCGACTTTCTTTGCATTTCTCTCTCATTGACAGACAGATAGTACGTACGCTCTCTCGCGAGCCACCCTCGAATGTCTTAGACTGCGTCTGACGACAAAGGATCGACCAGCGTCATCCTTACTACTCAGGCTATCGCAACGTCTCTACTTCTTCTGCTGAGGATATACTGACGTCGTCATCGCCGCCTGCTCTGGAGAAGCAAACAAAAGCAAAAGCTGGTCGCGGACGCTCCTGTTGATGACTTGATGGCAGAAGGGTTCAGTCCTTCTGGACAGGTAGCGCTCGTACTATTCCAAGTGAGAGAAGATCTCGCTTGCAGCAGCTGTGTATGTAAAGTCCCGTACCCCCTCGTGTCGTGCTTACGTGGTGTCCTCCTCGACGCCCGCTGAGCCGTAGATGGTATAAATCCTTTATCTTCTTCTCCTTCTTCTTCTTCAATACTCCCTCCGTCCACATGACGACGCCGCGTGCAGTTTAGCATGGCAACAAATCAGCCCATCCTTACGAAACGTGGCGACTGTATCGCAACACGTGTCAGATCGCGCCATCCCGTGCGTACCGCACCTATGGTATCGCACGTACGCAAAGGCGTTTCAAAGAGGCTCTTTTTTCTTGAACGCTCTTGAGACGGTCGATCGGTCTATCACGTTGTCAATTGGTACCAACAGCGCCGCTGTCGTATGTGGCACGACGCGTACTCGCAAGTCGCACAACAACACGTCCACATTGCACATAGAGAGCCACATCCGAAGAAGAATAAACAGATTCTGCACCGGTCCGGGAATGAATCAGTTTGGTCGGATGTGTTCAGCATTAGTTCTGCACACGCTGTGCGTTTGATATATATATATATATATTTATATATTTAGTTCCTACTTCTTCTTCTTTGCACTCGGTCACTCGACGCTTTTGTCAAGCGAATGACTTCCTATGTACACGACGGGCTGAGTTAAGGTGGGCAGTCAATAAAGATGATGGACGGGTGCGCCGTCTGCCGGGGCGTGTTCATAGGCAGCAAACGTGGACTCCGTCCGTGGCCGCCTCGACTCGAGTACGACTGCGTGCGGTCGAGCGACTTGGCCATCGGCACTTGGGACGACGAAGCGAGTGACGTGCTGCAACACCTTCGCTCGAGGTCACTTTGCTTCGAGTGGGAAGTGAACCCGTGGATCGTGAACCGGCGACGCGTCTTTGCTTGGTACAACAGCCGTCGCTGGTCGTCTTCCGTGGCCCCCGTCGCAGCTGCGTGGAGGTCGTCGTGGCTCGTGGAGCCGGTCAGGCCCATGAGCGCACAGAGGCCCGGGCCCTGCGAGTGCGACCGGTGCAGGCGGTGGGTACTCGACTTGCCCCACTTGGCTTTGTGCGTCGACGTGGCGTCTTTCATCGTCGATGGCACGAGCTCGTCTTCGAGCGCGCTGCAGTCGGGACTGTGTCGAAACCACTTGAGAGGCATAACTGATGGGTGGTCGGTTGACTGGGAAGTCGGTGTAAGTGGAAGGCGGGTGAGTGAGTGGGTGGGTGGGATGGGGTGTCGGATTGGTTTGGTGTTGCAGTGCGGTAGTGCGACTGCAAAGTGCGACTTGTGGTGCCGTGCACGAATTTGGGAATGAAGTTGAAATTCCAGTGTCAATCTGTCAGTCGGTCGATCAGTCAGTCAGTCAGTCAGTCGGCTAGTCAGTCAGTCAGTCAGTCAGTCAGTCAGTCAGAGAGAGTGTGTTTTTTGCCACTACAATGCGTTGAGCCGCCCATCGAACGCCATTTTCTCGCCCGAGGCATGGTATTCCTCTTGAGGAGGACTCGGGAGATCTCCGTGTAAAAGACGGCTCTGGCCACAAAAAAAGAGAGGGTCAGGCCGCTGGTGGCGTGGACCGGCGCACGGGCGGCTGTTTTGCGGTCTCCTCCCTCCGACCCTCTCGTTAGTGGTAAATCAAATCCGTCCGTGATAAAACCTCACGCTGAACTCGTCGACAATGCGAAAAAAAAGCGTTTAAGAAAATCTTTTGTCGCAAAAATGCTCAGTCGCGTCCACTACACATAAGTCAACACATGTCCCAAACATATCTCCACGTCGATGGCCAGCCACGACGTGGAGCCCCTCTGTGCACATCGATCCTTTCTCACGCCTCCTGTTGTTGTGTGAGTCGAGCGGGCGAGAGCAGAAAAAAGTAGTGCCGACCACACACTCAGCTGCGCGAGAAGACGGGCGTCGAAGTCGACACCGTCGCAGGTGCGCCTGTGTGTGTACCCGATTTTTCGCTCAATGCTGCAACAGCACGTCGGTCGTCCATGTACACGTCTTGCGCGCTTAGACGTTGCGGTGCACGGACGATATGCTGCCCACGCGCTACGACATTGTTCAATGCTTGAGCTCGGGTCGGATTGTACACCATGGCGATCTCCTTCCCCGGAACAACAGGTCCTGCTTGGGTGCAGGAGGCTTTCCCAAACATCTTTCGTCAGAGTTGAACACGTGCCCCTTACTGTGCGCAAAAGGTGGTAGCGAGATGCCGCAACCAGTGCGTGAGCAGATGTGCGCCTGCATTGTGCATGTGCGATGCATCGACCACTGTCACGACTATCCATTTTCTGCTACATGCCAGCGGCACAAGTGTGTGTCCAATCGGTCAGCCCAACGCAGGCCGATTTCTGTCTTGCTGTTGCTTCTTCAGCTGCACGAAAGGACGAGCAGCTGCCGCAAAACACACTATAGTTTGCAGGAAGGTCGAGCACGAGCAGAAGAGAGTGGCCACGAAGCAATCGACTGACATGCAGCCACTGTGCTGTGGTCCCACTTGCAATCGATCGCACGACTTGCGCTGCCACGTACAGTGCCACGACGGACAAAGGAAGCAAAGAGGTAGCGCTTCTGATCGCTGGTCAGCAAAAGGGAATCCGCTCTTCCCACACGTGTTGCAGTACGTTGACAGTCGTGACTTTGCCTTTGACGACGGCTGCTGTCCCTTCCATTCTATTGCGTCGCATATCGTAGAGTACCGTGCAAAACCAGCGCTTGGTCATTTACAGTAGAACCCCTCTTAGCGAATCCCGTATTATTATTAGCTAATAAACCTTTGTACCTAATACAGGGGTTTCCGGCCCGACGTGGCAGCCAAGCACCCGTTTATACGGTACGATTGTATGTCGATCACGTGACTAATAGCCCCTCCTGCCCCATAGACCCTCTACTACCTAATATGTGAGAGTCTGCCCCGTTGTATTAGCGGAGAGGGTTTCTACTGTAAACGGCGACGCGCAGAGCTCGACGACGGGCAGCGCACACGCAAATCCGTATCAGATTAGCACGGCTGAGGCATGGCCGGAACAGATTAGACAGCCGGACTGGCCAAAAAGCGAGCAATGTCCGGTGGTCGTGTTGGCAGTCAGCCAGTCAGTCACTCACTCACTCACTCACTCGATGGGCTCGAGACGGACCGAGTGGCTCAGTCCGCGTTCTTTTTTGGCACTTGGGCATGCACAGACGATGGCTGAGTCGTGCGTGGCGCTTGAAACTGAGCACCTCGTCACATGAATCGAACGTGTCGTGCGTCCACCGGATGCTCCGTAAGTCAGGACTCGCAGCACGAAGCGAAAGCACTCACTGGCTTCTTCCGCCCAACGACCTCCGGGTGAGGGACCATAAGGAACTTTATTGTCAGCAGGGTGCACCTAAAGCTCGATGTTCTCTTTGGTTTTCGAACGAGAACGGGATGCTGCTGCCCGTCATCAAGACCCGAGTAGCTGCTTAGGCCACGAGGGACACGTGAGCGTCTCTGCTTTCGAGGAGCGTCTCTGCTTTCGAGGAGTGTCTCTGCGTTCCATCGCACGTATTAAGAGACAGCTTCGGTTTGGCTTTAGAACGATCAGAAACAGTCGCACAACAAGCTACAGATAACGCGTAATCGCCTTCCATGGCGTTCCTTTCGCTCTGGATCTCTCATTGGCTTGACCCGACAACGTCAATGCGTTCAAGTGACGTGAGTGTCGAGCACACGCGTCTGTTCTCTTGCGTGACGCGAGCACGACGCAGACGCAGCTTCGCGCGTGGAACACTCACACGCGTACAAATCCACGACGCAGCGCGCTTCGAATCTGACAACAGCGTCGTCAGTAGCTTCCAGTGGCTTTTCCCGCAATGAGGCGATATCACTGCACCTCGTCCGTCAAAAGACTTGCATCCGGTCGTCGATGTAGCGACCGAGCAGTCGCACGTCTGCCGATATCGAGTCGGCCGTCCCAGAAAAAAAGTAGGTGGTGCTCCCCCTTCTCCCCCTCTTCTAGTGTCGTCTAGTAGAGTCATCTGGTAAAGTCGTCTAGTAGAGTCGCAACTTGGGATCCGGGATACAACTTACCGGCTTAACCCCAACAACAACTACAGTACACATCGCGATCCAATTTACCTGCTACTTATGTCTATCTGTCTATCTGTCGAGCGATCTGACTGTTAGTGCGTGCCAAACCTGTTTCTTCCCGACGCAATTCTTCTCACGTCTCTCGTAATCCATTCGGCGCTCGAAGTGATAAGCCAAACGCCCTCGAGCTGCACTGCAGCTGAGCCGTCACGCGCACGCGAGCGCGATTCAGTTTGGTAAGATACTGTTTCCAATCTCGTTGAAGATTACACACCAATCCAGCAGCTCGTCTGAACTGCTCGCTGTGAACGCCTACCGTCTCCACTTGCGTCTCACACTATCGCGCTATGGCAACCAGCACCACCCAGCACTAGCACCACCAGCACAACTAGCACTGCTACTAGCACCGGCACTAACACGATTGGAACAACCTGTCTGTCACTCACACGCGCTGCATCGCATTGTTCAAAAGTCCTCCATGTGGAAACACCGCGTGCAGAAACCCAAAGCGAGCGCGAGCTACCGCTCCAACATCTCGACCAAGAAGAACTCGCAACTCGTTGCATCGTCGTGGAACGACCGCGAACCCCCTGCGCCACCTCTGCCCTTGTCCGTCTCGCTCTGTGGCCTCGTGGCCAATGCCGAAGCCGTGCACGACCGCCTTGGCCTTAGTACTTGCATTGACATTGCCACGGCCGCGCAACTTCCTTCGTGTCGCGGCGACAAGCGAGCGCAGTGGAAACGCCTCGAACGCTCGACGGCCTTCACGCTGCTCAATCGAAAAGACCACGTCTTGGCACTTGCTCAAGTTGAAGCGAGCATTGAAGAGATCACACGCATCTTGGGCGCCACGACCGACCACTCGCATGCGGCGAGCATGACGGGTCTCTACGACGACGGCTTCATTGCCGGCTCCGTGGCCTACGTCCAGCGGCCGCGCGATTTCCAGGAAGACCAGGAGTATCACCACTTGGCCGTGAAAGCCACAAACTTTGTGCACTCGCGCTTGCTCGGGAAGAACGAGCAGTGGTGCTACGCCGAGATATTGCGGCGCCACGCCGATGGCAATAGCTTCACCTTGACCCAGGGCTCGCTCACGACGCAGCAGGCACTGTCTTTGCCGGCTCGTTCGGCTCTAAAAGGTACGTCGCAACGGGTGGCGCAGCTTCGAAACGTCAGTGCTGCCTACTCGGTCGAGCGCCAACCAGGCAGCCATAGCCTTCAGGTTGTCTTTCATGCTGCCTATACCCTGCAGCCCTCTAAGCTCGACGAGTCCTTCTACGACGTCCGTGGTACGCCCGTCGTGAGCCGCAAAGCCGCGCAGATCCGGTTGCTCCGCCTCGGCCGCAGCATTGCCCACCTGCCGCAACTCGTGCGCCGACGGCGCTTTGGCGTCCAAATCTATGCCGACCGCTCGGCCTGCAACGTCCGCAACGCCCGGTGCACGTGTTGCACACAAAAGCTCGTGGCGTTCTTTGTCCCGCGGACGCAGTGCTACTTGTGCGGCTACTACGTCTGCACGAGCTGTGCCGCGTCGGAAGAGATGGAGATCCACAATGGACAGATCACGACGATCAATATCTGCGCGCGGTGCCGCTTGAGCGTCGAAGGGTGTGACTACGAGCACATGATGTCGGTGAATGCCGGACCCGAATGTGTCGTGCCGGACCTGTCGTCGAGTCCGACGACAACGGCCGCCACGGAGTACCTCTCGTCGCCCACGTCGTCGAACTGCACGGCAGAGCTCTCGCCGAGCTCTTCAGTGAGTTCCGACGCCTCGTCAAGTCAATTGCTGGCCGACCTGCTGGAACAGGTGTCGAACGACGAAGCCAAAGCCGGTCGGCGTCGCGCGGCGCTGACGGTCCTCGCGCAGCTTATGCTGGCGGACCAAGACAAGACGCAAATGCAAGTCGACAAGAACGCAAAGCTACTGCAAGACGCGTGCTCTTCGCCCCAGTGTTTGGACGCGTCGAAGGTCGCACTGGACGTCTCGAAGCGGCCGAAGGATCTCGCTGCGTGTCAGTTTGCAAGCGCAGCGGCGCGGCCGTACCAAATGACACCTGCGGTCGTGGAGAAGAACGCGGCACCGAATGCAGAGGTTGAGCCGTTTGTGTACCCTGTGCCGCTGAACGAAGAGGTGCGGCTGAACGCGATTGAGCAATTGCGGCTCCAGGACATTGTCGACGTCCCTGAGCTCAACGTGATTTGCGCCCTCGCGGCTGCGGAAATGCAGTGCCCCCACAGCGTCGTGACGCTCGTGGAGCGAGAGATTGTGCGCTTGCTGGCAACGAATGCACCCGATGTGTGGGACGTCGGGAGCCGGAACCCGCGCGAGCAGACGTTCTGCCAGCACTTTGTCATGGAGGACAAGCCACTGCTCGTGCGTCACGCTGAAGCCGACGTGCGCTTTTACCACATTGCGCCCGTGAAGCGAATGAGTCTGCGGTTCTACGCAGGGTTCCCCATCTACGTCACGATGAAAGGCAGTCGTGAGCGAATTGTCGTGGGTGCGCTGTGCTGCATGGACGGGAAGCCCCATGAGATGACGCGGTCGCAGTACTGGCGACTTACGAAACTCGCGACGGCAGCGTCCGAGATCCTCGAGCGACTCGCGAACGAGCGCCTGGCATGCTAAAGGAGCAGAAGGGCGAGCAGGCCGACACGAAGAAAGCCCGACGAACGAATGCGTAAGGCGTAACGCGCGCCGGCAGCAGATGTATCCATTCCGGTCAGCTCAACTTGAAGTGCACCATCTTGTCCCTGGTCTCGTGCAGTCGTCTCCACCAGTCAAATGACCATATGGAAGTCATTTGCGTGGTCGAGCGCTTGTCGCATGTTGCAGCTCGTTGCAGTGCTCGCTATGAGTTGCGCGAGAGCGTTCTGCAACTGCTGGAGACCGGCTTCTTGTACTGCTTGGCTTGTACGGGTACATTGACGCTAGCGCTTGTACATAGATGTATGAATATAATGATGAAAGGTTGATACGATTGTTGTTTGAGGCATTTGTAAGTGATGTTGCTTGCCGGCAAACACGACGATGCGTGAATTCGAATATGTAGTTGCAATAAGTAACGACGTTCGCTACTACAACATGGACTTCCCGTGACATCGTTTCTTGCTGTTTTGGTGGACCTGTCGGCAGTAGAAGCCCAGTGGACGATCGAGTGTCGAGTACATGCGTCGATTGCTGTGTCGAGTGGTCGACAGATTCTTATCACAAGTAGCTGTTGGGTCTCACAGCACGAGATCGCCTTCAAAAGATTTGGTACAATAGGCTCTTCCAGCTCGAGGTAGCTACACCAATGGCCGTAATTAGTGCGGACCATTCTATTTATCAACCACCTATTTTTAAGTCGCTCACGGGTATGAGTGCGGACCACACAATTAATGAACCCGTACCAATTATGGGCTGGCAGATTCAGTATGGACCGCACTAATTTTGAATGCGGAGAATTAGTGCGGATTGATAACAACCGAAAGAGCGCAGTATGTAATAATGTATTTGGCTACATGATTTAAAGCCCAGTTGTTATGACTTTTGGCAACAGCCAAGGGCGATATAAACTTGAAAAGCTAAAAAGAAGAAGGTAAAATGGAAAGTGAATATAACACCTAGCTAGGTCCTTAATTCGTCTCGTTGTACCACTCTAAGTCTATCGTTATCGACTCTACGATATCAGTAACAAAACGATGAGTCGATCCCATCGTTACACACAATCGTGCAGTGTCGTCCTTGCCATGTGGTCATTAGTACCACATACAACGACATTACAAATAAGTTGGAACGGGAGTGTCATCGTAGTGGATGCGATATTTGACAACAATTCGTTGCAATTCCGGCATCAATTGCGATTCGTGCCATCGACCACTGACATCAAGTGCCATGCCACAACGAATCATTTACTTACGAGCGTATGCCAAGCCGCAACTTTCGCGCATCCCGTTCACCGCGCGTACGGCTGTGGCGGCGAGTTCCAAAAAGAAGCGTTTGCCCGGGTTCTTCAGCTTTCCCGACCAAGAGCCGTTTTTACGCACGGTGTCTGACCAGTCGTTTTTTATCATGCGCATCTTCTCGTCCTCCCACAATCGGGTCTATTCGTCCTTGATTTTTGAGATGACGAAAGAGTCGGCTTGCTGAACAAAATCGGTCGCTCAGGTTGGAGCATAGCGTAATTCAGTGTTGGTCTTTAAGAGAACTTCACGTAACTCTGGAATGTCGTTGTGGCCGGCACAGTTGTCCAAATTAATGACAGTCCTTCGTCCAGCACTGTCTCCCTTGAATGCGCGTGGCTCGCCAAAGCATTGAGGAAACACCTGTAATAGTGTAAACATATAATTAATATGGAGTACATAGATAATTCATGAGACATGAGACACCAACCTTTTTTATCATTTCAACCTTTAGGCTCAGATCGGTATGAAGCACCAGACACATCGTCTGGAAGACCATTTATAAGGTATGATCGGCTTGGATTCTGGGAGATCATCATAGGTGTACCAATTCGCGCACGTGATCCGCCCGTGATGTAGACCATCATGGTCAACCGATACCACCCGACACAACATCGGCGTATTTAAACTCTGTATCACCACGAAAACTAAGTGTGCGACCGTTTTCGCAATTGATCACGAAATGATTTTCGTCAATATTACAAAGTAGGTCCTCGTTCAGGTCTCCTGACTCGAAACCACGGCGTAACTCGCCCATATGGTACGCAACCGTTTTCTCGATATGATCTTGCTCCGCGGCGCTGACCAAAAGCCTTCCGGTCTGTGCCCGATGTACTATGACATGCGCCTCCTATTGCAGCAAACAAATTCAATCAGTAAAATTATCTACGTACTAGTGTAAATAAACTATATACCATACACTGATGAACCCATCGTGTCTTGATTTTATCGACGATAGGTTTATTGCCGAATGGATCAATAAAGTTGGAATTGTATAATGGCGCATCGTTCCTGACAGTGTGAGCAAGATGATCGATTAGGGCTGGAGAGAACTTGACTCCAGCGGCCTTAAGCCGCATGAACTCAAACAGCAACTCAACGTACAGGTATGGTACCCATTCAGATCGGCGCCTTCCTCTGCCAGCAACAGCCTTAAGGTTGACCCTCTTTCGCACTGATGGCACAACTGCTGATATCGACCTTGGATGTGTACCGCCATATTCACCAACTTTATCGCGCATCTTCCACCACCTTGTGGCTTTGGTATGATTGGCCTGCATACAGCCAATGTCAAAACCATTGTTTCAAGGTGCTCATTTCAACATATATTGCAGTTTCCGCGGAACTCTAAGGAAAATTTAGCGATCGCTTTAAGGATCAAGCCTTGTTCATCATTCTGGTCTGCATCAGTTATCATCCAATCAATCACAGTGAGTCGCGACGTTATCGGTACAACCTGTTGAAGCTTGCACTTCCGCTTGTTGACGAGTTTTTCGTCGCGACCGTGATTATCATCTTCTATCTTCTCTTCCCCCTCTCCTACATCTTCGTTGTCATCAAGTTCCTCGCCATCGACATCGCCTTTTGGGTCATTAGCCTCCGGCAGTACGTGCAAAAGCAGCGATAATCGGTGATGGAGAGCTCAACGCCTCGACACTTCTAAAAACCACCATCAAAGCACTTACACGGTCAAAATTAGAATGAGAATGACGTCATTTTACTGTACAGTATATTAATTACGAATTTGAAAAGTTTGTGCGGAGTCCGCACTATTTCTCAGCCTCCCAATTCGCAACTCTCTCGGTATGTATATTAATGTGGACCGCACTAATTTTGAATTCACACTAATTCTTAATCCACACTAATTGCGGTCATCGGTGTAGCTATGTACATGCTCAGAGTATCTAGGGCCAAGTTAGCTAATGTACGTGCGTCTTCTTTTTTTGTGCCCTCTGTTATCATCTACATCAGCAGATAAGTACTGTCGCTGCGGGTCGTTTGTCGGCTTAATAAGTTATGAACTCAAGTATGCGGGAACGACAGCGCTACCGACGGTGGTCAGAAGCTTCGTTACCAAAGCTCCACGCTAGGGAAAAGTCAAATTGACATGGTGTTATACTTGTGCATTGTAGTATATAGGCATACAACGAACCGTTTCGAAAATGAACGTAAAATGAGTGGAAATGTATGCATGTAGCGCACGGATTTCGTCGGTACTTATGCTCTGCTGGAATAAAACATAACTTATTTTGATCGGGTGCTATAAGATCCCACTAATTTTTACACTAGATCGAGTATCTTAAATTTGAACCGCTCTTCCAGCTTCAGTGTAGCTCCGCGCCGCTCCTCCTCGTCATGGAACGCATTCAACACGTCATCTACGAGAAGTCCGAGCAATACCACCCGCTCGTTGCCGCGTTTGTTGTAGACGCACAGATCGAGTCTTGACTTGATAGATCCAGTGCGATGACGCTCTCATATATCGTCTCATACCAGCAGCTATACGAAGGCTTAAGCCCGTACAAGGGCAAACGAAGCTCAAGTACTATTCTCTCCTGTACATTTAGCGCTCTTGGAGCCTGTATGTAGATCAAGTTACGCAGCAAACATTTTACGTAGGTATTTGAGACGTCACCATGAGTCAGTTGTAGTTCAGGCAAGCTTGAAAGTACAAATTGTTTCTTATGACATGTGGACATTCTACGTTGTGTGGTGTTTTTACGCTTAGATAGTATGTGATGATTTCGCATATTGGGTGGTCTCTGCTCGATTATGGCACCCTTATATACGCCTTTACTATACGCAAGCTACCTGGTATCTTGATGTTACGAAAAGAGACAAGTACACGGTGCAACCAGCTAGAACCTGATACTTCGCTATAGTGATCGCTGGTGTAGAAGTCACTTTGCACACACAAGCGATGGTTTTAAGAATATGGGGATCTTTCTATATCGGGTACTTCGTTATAAATTTGCTTATTTGTCTGATGCGTCCGAACGAATTCTGATGCGAATACAACATTTCGGGAACCCAGCTAATTTTAATACTTCGCAAACGTAGGATCATTACCTTCTTCAACTAATTTCTTCCCATTCCGCTGCGAGTTTGACTAAAAAATCTTGCAGCCTGGTAGAACACACTAAACTTGAGTACAGTAGTTTGATTGCAGAAACCTCCTCCGACCATCATCAGCAAGAGCAACATCGATGACGCCTCCGACAGCATCCTTGGATCGTCGAAATTACAATTCATTAGGCGCTGTCGGTTGATGAAATGTATAATCGAACTGGCTTGGCATGACGAGCGCAAATGGAAAAACTTGCTGTATTTATGTATTGTGCGATACCTCGAAATATCAGATGGTGGGTAATTTGTGCAAAATAAGACATTCGCTGACGTACACGCGTTCTTCTGGATAGTGTAATTATTTTCTAGCAACATGTGGTTGCTCGTACCGCCTTCCTCTATATAATCATTGTTGTGCCTATCCATTTGAACGACATCTGTATTTTACACAGTCCTACGGTCCATTTTTAAATAAAATTTATTGAGTCTTGTTTAGTATCTGCAGAAAAGGTAAGCGAAATCTGAAGATAACTACTTACACCGTCACCATTTCAGAGCCTTCAATTTGTCATTAGTGTAACTAAATTTGCTTTGTTTCTCCGCAAGCACTTCTAGTGT